ACAAGGGTCACCATGGAAGCAGCCAATCTTTCAAAACTCGAGCAAGAACTACACAACATCCAAAGGACACGACTATTCTGCTGGCTACGGTGTAGAAAAGGAGGCAAACATGAACTATCCCTCGACACGCTGCCCTTCAAAGACTTGGGAGGGAGAAGGTCCTTCCGCCTGGAAATCGCACGTCCGCCTACTCACTCCATCGGTCCGCCGCTGCTTGGCCAATGGAACCGTTCGCGTTGCCTCAATCCTCGGCATATGACCCATGGGGTGCCTTCTTGATCAAACGCTGCATCATCATTATGTACACCAGCGGGCTTTGAGATAGGGGACTTCCAACAACAAAATTACCATAAAATAGTTCAGTATCACAGAATCATCGCGTAGTTCAACGTACAAGAGAGTGCGGGAAAGGTTGTGAATGAGACGATCATCCGCTTACGGAGGGGCGGAAAGCGGGTATCGATTCCCGAGTAGATGCAACCTACGTACTTGTTATATTTTGCCCCGGAAAAAATCTACAAAAAGCGTTGTGTTGGTGCAGGCGTGTAGCGCACTCCGGGACCCCTGATAGTCACGCACACAAGGTGCAGTAGCAGACGTTGTGACGAGAAAACGCTACTTTGCGCATGGAGCGGGATTTTTTGCTCATCTTTGCCAGTTGCGAAGGTTGATTGGTGGCAGTAGGTCAATTGCTGTAGGGTGTAGGATCACGAAAGGCGTGGAATAAGCACGTCTCTACACGAACGACATGACGCTTGAACTTCCACTCCAATTAGACTCTATTTGTTAGGTATACTCGCAGCAGTAAATGGTCGTGAGCATCCCAGGGGATATGTGTTGGGAATTTCGTGTGTTGTAGGGTACCAACGGTGCAGTCACGGGGACCCTTTTGGCGTGGTTGGTGCGATGAGGCTTGCGTGCATGCTGCGCACTTCTTCCTTCCCTCTCTTCACCGCCACCGCCGTCTCTCTCCACTCAAGTTTCCTTCCCCCACCCTCTCTCCGCCTCTCTCACCACCTCTCTCTCTCGGCCTAACACGGCCGACTACCCAGTGCCCCAAGTAATGCCCGGGACGGGCTTGCTGCACCCCGCGTAGTTTACCTTTCACTATTCTTGTCCTTTCGATATTCATTCGTAGGGAATAGGCCTTTTACCATGATGCATTTGGGAAACCCCTCCCCGTACTTCCCCCCCCTGGTGTTTACCATCGGGGTTGGGTTTCCGTCGCTTGGCAACGACGTTGTAAAACAAGCCAATTCACTTCGTGAACTCGGCAACCAGGTTACCGTTTTTCTTTTTTTTCCTCCGGTTTTGTTTTTGGCGGTAACCATGATGGTGGCCGAGTAGATCATGTTGTGCGGGGTCGACAACCCTCACTCCGCGCAAGGGGGATGATCGCACCACGTTGTGTTAAAATGGTCAAGCACCCTCGAGGCAGTTACACAGTGCTTACAACTGTCTCAGGAAGTGAAAGCACCAGAAAATAAATTGAGTCATACGCAGCTGTCATCCGTACGCAAGGAAGTAAGGATAAGATGCCGAACACCCTTGGCAGAATGCAGCACAGCCTTCATGCGACTCGCCGAATATCTCACGGCGTTTGGCGCTTGGCGATGTGAGAGCCTGGTCCGGTGAGAACCCGGCGTGCTCCGTCCCGGCTTT